CTGACGGGGGAGGATCATAGTGTTGTTCTTCAGCAGGTGGGTGAGGTGGGCGTGACGGGCGTGACGGGCGGCTGGCAGGTCCTCCGGCGCCACTGAACCACCTGAACAATATACCAGGTTACGTTAGTTGTTACTGTGGTGGTGGATGTTCTGGTTATAGTGGCGGTTGTTATAGTGGTGGTTGTTATAGTGGTGGTTGTTATAGTGGTGGTTGTTTATAGTGGTGGTTGGTTTTATAGTGGTTTAGGTTGTTAAGTGTGATTGTTATAGTGGTGGTTGTTATAGTGATGATTGTTATAGTGGTGGTTGTTATAGTGGTGGTTGTTATAGTGGTGGTTTATAGTGGTGGTTGTTATAGTGGGATTGTTATTAGTGGTGATTGTTATAGTGGCGGTTGTTATAGTGGTGTTGTTATAGTGTGTTTTTATAGTGGTGATTGTTTATAGTGGTGATTGTTATAGTGGTGGTTGTTATAGTGGTGGTTGTTATAGTGGTGGTTGTTATAGTGGTGGTTGTTATAGTGGTGGTTGTTATAGTGTGGTTGTTATAGTGGTGGGTTGTTATAGTGGTGGTTATAGTGGTGGTTGTTATAGTGGTGGTTGTTATAGTGGTGGTTGTTATAGTGGTGGTTGTTATAGTGGTGGTTGTTATAGTGGTGGTTATAGTGGGGATTGTTATAGTGGTGATTGTTATAGTGGCGGTTGTTATAGTGGGTTGTTATAGTGGTGGTTGTTATAGTGGTGGTTGTTATAGTGGTGGTTGTTATAGTGGTGGTTGTTATAGTGGTGGTTGTTTATAGTGTGGTTATAGTGGTGGTTGTTAAAGTGTAATTGTTATAGTGGTGGTTGTTATAGTGATTGTTATAGTGGTGGTTGTTATAGTGGTGTTGTTAAAGTGGTGATTGTTATAGTGGTGGTTGTTATAGTGGTTGTTAAAGTGGTAATTGTTTTAGTGGTGGTTGTTATAGTGGTTGATTATAGTGGTGGTTGTTAAAGTGGTAATTGTTATAGTGGCGGTTTGTTATAGTGGTGGTTGTTATAGTGGTAGTTGTTATAGTGGTGGTGTTATAGTGGTGGTTGTTATAGTGGGTGGTTGTTATATTGGTGGTTGTTATAGTGGTGATGTTATAGTGGTGGTTATAGTGGTGGTTGTTATAGTGGTGATGTTATAGTGGGTGTTATAGTGGCGGTTGTTATAGTGGCGGTTGTTATAGTGGTGGTTGTTATAGTGGCGGTTGTATAGTGGTGGTTGTTATAGTGGCGGTTGTTATAAGTGGCGGTTGTTATAGTGGCGGTTGTTATAGTGGTGATTGTTTTAGTGGTGATTGTTATAGTGGTGATTGTTATAGTGTGGTTGTTATAGTGGCGGTTGTTATAGTGGTGGTTGTATAGTGGCGGTGTTATAGTGGTGGTTGTTATAGTGGCGGTTGTTATAGTGGCGGTTGTTATAGTGGTGGTTGTTATAGTGGTGGTTGTTATAGTGGTGGTTGCTATTAGTGGCGGTTGTTATAGTGGTGGTTGTTATAGTGGTGGTTGCTATAGTGGCGGTTGTTATAGTGGTTGTTATAGTGGTGGTTGTTAAAGTGGTGGTTGTTATAGTGGTGGTTGTTATAGTGATGATTGTTATAGTGGTGGTTGTTATAGTGATGATTGTTATAGTGGTGGTTGTTATAGTGGTGGTTGTTATAGTGGTGATTGTTATAGTGGTGGTTATAGTGGTGGTTGTTATAGTGGTGATTGTTATAGTGGTGGTTGTTATAGTGGTGGTTATAGTGGTGGTTGTTATAGTGATGATTGTTATAGTGGCGGTTGTTTAGTGGTGATTGTTATAGTGGTGATTGTTATAGTGGTGGTTGTTATAGTGGGGATTGTTATAGTGGTGGTTGTTATAGTGGTGGTTGTTATAGTGATGATTGTTATAGTGGTGGTTGTTATAGTGGTGGTTGTTTATAGTGATGATTGTTATAGTGGTGGTTGTTATAGTGGTGATTGTTTATAATGGTTGTTGTTATAGTGGTGGCTGTTATAGTGGTGATTGTTATAGTGGTGATTGTTATAGTGGTGGTTGTTATAGTGATGATTGTTATAGTGGTGATTGTTATAGTGGTGGTTGTTATAGTGGTGGTTGTTATAGTGGTTGTTGTTATAGTGGTGGCTGTTATAGTGGTGATTGTTATAGTGGTGATTGTTATAGTGGTGGTTGTTATAGTGATGATTGTTATAGTGGTGATTGTTATAGTGGGTGGTTGTTATAGTGATGATTGTTATAGTGGTGGTTGTTATAGTGGTGGTTGTTATAGTGGTGGTTTAGTGGTGGTTGTTATAGTGGGGATTGTTATTAGTGGTGATTGTTATAGTGGCGGTTGTTATAGTGGTGATGTTATAGTGGTGATTGTTATAGTGGTGATTGTTATAGTGGTGATTGTTATAGTGGTGGTTGTTATAGTGGTGATTGTTATAGTGGTGATTGTTATAGTGGTGATTGTTATAGTGGTGATTGTTATAGTGGTGGCTGTTATAGTGGTGATTGTTATAGTGGTGATTGTTATAGTGGTGGTTGTTATAGTGGTGATTGTTATAGTGGTGATTGTTATAGTGGTGATTGTTATAGTGGTGATTGTTATAGTGGTGATTGTTATAGAGGTGATTGTTATAGTGGTGGTTGTTTTAGTGGTGATTGTTGTAGTGGTGATTGTTATAGTGGTGGTTGTTATAGTGGTGATTGTTATAGTGGGTGATTGTTATAGTGGTGATTGTATAGTGGTGGCTGTTATAGTGGTGATTGTATAGTGGTGATTGTTATAGCGATGATTGTTATAATGGTTGTTATAGTGGTGATTGTTATAGTGGTGATTGTTATAGTGGTTGTTGTTATAGTGGTGGCTGTTATAGTGGTGATTGTTATAGTGGTGATTGTTTATAGTGGTGATTGTTATAGTGGCGGTTATAGTGGTGGCTGTTATAGTGGTGATTGTTATAGTGGTGATTGTTATAGTGGTGATTGTTATAGTGGTGGTTATAGTGGTGATTGTTATAGTGGTGATTGTTATAGTGGTTGTTATAGTGGTGGCTGTTATAGTGGTGATTGTTATAGTGGTGATTTTTATAGTGGTGGTTGTTATAGTGGTGATTGTTATATGGTGATTGTTTATAGTGGTGGTTGTTATAGTGGTGATTGTTATAGTGGTGATTGTTATAGTGGTGATTGTTATAGTGGTGATTGTTATAGTGGTGATTGTTATAGTGGTGGTTGTTATAGTGGTGATTGTTTAGTGGGATTGTTATAGTGGTGATTGTTATAGTGGTGATTGTTATAGTGGTGGCTGTTATAGTGGTGATTGTTATAGTGGTGATTGTTATAGTGGTGGTTGTTATAGTGGTGATTGTTATAGTGGTGATTGTTATAGTGGTGATTGTTATAGTGGTGATTGTTATAGTGGTGGTTGTTATAGTGGTGGTTGTTATAGTGGTGGTTTATAGTGGTGGTTGTTTAAAGTGGTAATTGTTATAGTGGTGGTTGTTATAGTGATTGTTATAGTGGTGGTTGTTATAGTGGTGGTTGTTAAAGTGGTAATTGTTATATGTGGTGGTTGTTATAGTGATGATTGTTATAGTGGTGGTTTAGTGGTGGTTGTTAAAGTGGTAATTGTTATTAGTGGTGGTGGTTATAGTGGTGGTTGTTATAGTGGCGGTTGTTATAGTGGTGGTTGTTATAGTGGTGGTTGCTATAGTGGTGGCTGTTATAGTGGTGATTGTTATAGTGGTGATTGTTATAGCGTGATTGTTATAATGGTGGTTTTATAGTGGTGATTGTTATAGTGGTGATTGTTATAGTGGTCGTTGTTATAGTGGTGGCTGTTATAGTGGTGATTGTTATAGTGGTGATTGTTATAGTGGTGATTGTTATAGTGGCGGTTATAGTGGTGGCTGTTATAGTGGTGATTGTTATAGTGGTGATTGTTATAGTGGTGATTGTTATAGTGGTGGTTATAGTGGTGATTGTTATAGTGGTGATTGTTATAGTGGTGATTGTTATAGTGGTGGCTGTTATAGTGGTGATTGTTATAGTGGTGATTGTTATAGTGGTGGTTGTTTTAGTGGTGATTGTTATAGTGGTGATTGTTATAGTGGTGATTGTTATAGTGGTAGTTGTTATTGTGGTGATTGTTATAGTGGTTGTTATAGTGGTGGCTGTTATAGTGGTGATTGTTATAGTGGTGATTTTTATAGTGGTGGTTGTTATAGTGGTGATTGTTATAGTGGTGATTGTTATAGTGGTGGTTATAGTGGTGATTGTTATAGTGGTGATTGTTATAGTGGTGGTTGTTATAGTGGTGGCTGTTATAGTGATTGTTATAGTGGTGATTGTTATAGTGGTGGTTGTTTATAGTGGGGATTGTTATAGTGGTGATTGTTATAGTGGTGATTGTTATAGTGGTGATTGTTATAGTGGTGGTTGTTATAGTGGTGGCTGTTATAGTGGTGATTGTTATAGTGGTGATTGTTATAGTGGTGGTTGTTATAGTGGGGATTGTTATAGTGGTGGTTGTTATAGTGGTGGCTGTTATAGTGGTGATTGTTATAGTGGTGATTGTTATAGTGGTGGTTGTTATAGTGGTGGTTGTTATAGTGGTGGTTGTTATAGTGGTGGTTATAGTGGTGGTTGTTATGTGGGGATTGTTATAGTGGTGATTGTTATAGTGGCGGTTGTTGTAGTGGTGATTGTTATAGTGGGATTGTTATAGTGGTGATTGTTATAGTGGTGATTGTTATAGTGGTGATTGTTATAGTGTGATTGTTATAGTGGTGATTGTTATAGTGGTGATTGTTATAGTGGTGATTGTTATAGTGGTGCTGTTATAGTGGTGATTGTTATAGTGGTGATTGTTATAGTGGTGGTTGTTATTGTGGTGATTGTTATAGTGGTGATTGTTATAGTGGTTGATTGTTATAGTGGTGATTGTTATAGTGGTGGCTGTTATAGTGGTGATTGTTATAGTGGTGATTGTTATAGTGGTGGTTGTTATAGTGGTGATTGTTATAGTGGTGATTGTTTATAGTGGTGATTGTTTATAGTGGTGATTGTTATAGTGGTGGTTGTTATAGTGGTGGTTGTTATAGTGGTGGTTTTAGTGGGGTTGTTAAAAG